TTTCTTATGAAACCATTTATACTCATTTTACTATTATACTAACTTGTACTCATGTATATCATATAACATATACAATAACCATTAACATGCATACATCATGTCAAACATATGCTCCTATTATGAGTTCATACACCTATCCTAGGAAATAGACTTATCGCAAGTCTTATTTCCATGAAACATCATGTAATAACTAACATGCACTCACCTTAGTCTTGTTTGCTTTGATTTGATCCTAATTCTTCGATTGTTCTGTAATGGAATTACATTCTATATCTACATAATAATACATTTTAAGACAATTATTAGATACTTATACCTTGTAATTCGATACTAACAAATTAAACGAACTTAATAAATCATTATTCACCTTTTTCCTTTAGGGGGTATCGATACCCTTCTTAGGATATCGGTACCCTCATTGCATTCTATTAGTTTTTCATTAAAGAAGGTATCGATACCTTACTGGGGGTATCAGTACCCTCATTACATTATGTGATTCTTTCCGTTTGAGAGGGTATCGATACATGTTGAATGGGTACCGATATCCTTAACCCATAAATCACATTTTATACACGAAAATTACTCCAAAACAACTTAATTCTTCTTATATAACCTCATTTTAGCCCTTCAAACTTAACTACACTCAGCCTAACCAACTTATATCACTTGAACTCAACTTAATATCCCATATTCCCTCTTAAATTTGGAAACCAATGATCTTATCATTTTCTCAACATGTTCTAAATTAGATTCTATCACTTCCTATTTCTTAATTCAATGGATGACAAGTCAAATTTAACTTATCAATTCTTCTTCAAGATTTCACTTAAAAACTCCAAATCTTGAATCCATATTATCTTTTTCATCTTGTAGTTTTAATATAACTTAAGCTTTCCTTAAGCTTAAGTATCATCTAATGATCAAAACCCAAACTTAATTTCAACTAAAACCAACTAATAAGAAATCTCAAATTAACAAGCTGGAGTCCACGGCTGGAAGAAGGAAAAAGAAGAAAACTTTGGAGACCTTGATATTTTTCTTCCTCCTCCACGTGGAACCATATATATATATATCCTCTCTCAATTAAATTATCTTTCCTACTAAGTGGTCATTTTGTTCTTCAATTCTTCCCTCTTTATAATTAAATCCTACACAACATTTTTCATATAAAATTCCAAACTTTTCAATTTTCTACTTCGACCAATACATTTTGAAATATTTCAATTTAGTCACTAACTTGATATGGAGGATGTTACACCATTGAAATGAGCTCACGGTGAAGAGGATGAAGAAGAAAAAACAAAGTTTCCAGACTTCTCTTTTATTTTCTCTCATTCCACGTGGGTTTCCCTTATAAAGGAAAAATAAAAATCTTTCTTGGGAAAAGACCAATATACCCTCTCATCTTTCCTTTTTGACTAATCAATCCTTCACAAATAAATTTCAATTTAGTCCTTAAACTTTAAATTTTTTTGAAATTGAGCACAAAGTTTTCAAAACTTTCATTTTGATCACTAACCCAGCTTTTGGGATGTTACAAGCTTCAACGAAAAATCCCAACAAAGTTGAATAAAAGTAATAAAATAATTGATTAATTCGAAAATTATATTTTAGAATCAACAAGTGTCCATCCTAAAAACAAGTTATATTATTTTCCAAAAAATGATAAGCTTACATTAATATAAAACTTATTAATTTTATACCAATTTCTTAACATTGGGTTATAATAGAATGTGTGATCGAAATTAAGATATTGTTTCTATTTATTTACACTCCACTCTTGAGGGTTTTTTTCACCTAAAAAATGTTTTGCAATTCATTATGAAATTGATATTAGTCCCAATTTTTTTAAAGAGGATATTAATCCCAATTAAAATAGTAGACCATAAAAAATTTGTAAAAGAGATTTTTAAAGAAAAGTAGTAAAAATAATGTTTTTTTTATCTGGACCGCGCATTTTATTATGATTTGAATGTTAGAAATTAATGATGTTTAATTAAATAGAGTTTTCAAAATGATTTTAGAAATATATGCAACTTAGTTTTAATAACCAAATTATTAATTCTTTATTCCATTCATATAAAAAGTTAATTGCGTTATAAAACATTAAAAATAATAAAATTCGATTGGATAATTATTTGATATAAAAAGTTTTTTTTGTAAAAAAAACCTTTTATACAAAAAAAATTAATAAAATGCGTTATACACAAATGATTTTGTTAATTTAATGCTTAATTGGATAATTATTTGAAATACAAGTGTATTTAATCTATCATAATGCACCTTTGAATGTTTATTTAGATAGGAATTGAAAAAAATATGATCATAGATTAAAGTCACTTGTGAATAAAATAGTTCATCAAAACTCCACTAACATATTAAATAATAATCACTGTTAATTCTAATTGAGTTATTAATTAGGTTGTTGATGTAATTTATTAATATAATTATTTTAAGAAAAAATTTAAAATAAATATCAGTCACTAATATATATTATTAATATTATAATTCGATATATATATATATATATTAAAAACTTGGAGAATCTAAAGTAAATTAACCTTATTTAAAATTGAATTTTAGTTTGAGTAAGTTTTTGACTGCTCCCCTTTTCATCTATTTTTTAATATAAAATATTATTTTATAATAAAAAATAATGATATTTAATTTAAAATAAAATTGAATTATTAATTTAATTTAATAATTTAAAATAATAATTATTATTATAATCATTAAAGAAAATATACGCTATTTTCAAATTGAACGTAAAAATGTAAGGCATTGACTTTCTAGTTTTGAAATTCTATAACACATGAATGGATTGAGACATTGTGTGTTAAATCGTACAATTTTTTTTTTAAAATTATTTCTAATGCGATTGACAATTCAAAAGGTTTTTAGATTTAATAAATTCATCGTTGAATTTTCTAATGTATACGGAGTGAGATTCAGGGTTTGACATTAGCGTATATGTATCACACCTAATTATTTATTTATTTACGGTGATTAATCATTTTGAGTTTGAAAAGATGCAACAGTTATTATAATATTAGTTTACAAAGAAAGGTTGGGAAATAGAATGCGATGCCTTTTACATTTAAGAATTTTATGTCAAATTTACCATTGACGTTTTAGACACAGCAAATATTTAAAATCCATTCATTTATAAATTTTGACATAAATAAATTCAACGCTAAGAAAATTAAGCACCGTTGATTTCTCAATTTCGAAAAAAAAAATTAAAGCTTCTACCTGGATAAGTAAGATGTCGATTTAAACCTCTGGTAGTTTCTAGATGACTTCAATTAATCCACTAAATAATCGGAATACGATTTTTCTATCCGAATATCGCCCGTAAAAATATTTAATATTCAAAATAATATATATTTTAAATTATTTTCTAAATTAACAAATTTTTTAGCACGTAAGGTAAAATATATAGTTTGAGTTAAAATTAAAGAAAGAAAAAAAGTAAAAAAATAAAGAAAAATTATATAAATTTTGTAAAAAAAATAAACATATGTGGTACGTGTTAAAAATACATATTTACACGAACACTCAATTAATTTTATTTTCAATCACTTAATTAATATATATTTAAACACTCTTAGAAATTTCATATGTATACAATATTGAATTTATGAGGCTCGTGGTTAAACATATTAATTTTTGAATTGTCAAAAGTAAGTCTTGAATTTAATCAGTCCCATCTTAAAATAAAAAGTAAAATAAAATCAAAATAGCTAAACCTTAATCTCAAATCTCAACCCTCAAAGCATCATCGACCGATCAAAACGACAACCACTAGCCGTAGATGCAGGTGCTCATGGCTCTAGAAAACCAACATTGAAGTGAGGTGGCTTGAAAAAGTGAGCAAACAAAAGGAAGAAATAACTTTCAAGTAAAGCCATGATGAAGGCTAATCTTTCTTGTTCAAAAAAATGATGAAAAGGAGAATGCCATGATGCCACAACTTATTGCCAAATCAAAAGGAACTGCTTCTTCGAAAGTGAAAATTGGGGGAGGGGAACGAGATACAGTGAAAGTTTGAAGGGGGGAGATTGTAAAGATTTTGGGGAGGGAGAAAGGGGGAACGATAAGGATGGAGGTAAAGACTGAGGAAAGGAAGAGGTGAAGTTTTGAAAAAGGGAGAGGATGATGGAGATCTTTGACTTATCGACCTCCGATGTCGATCATTGGTTGTGGCCAGAACAATAATGGTCAGATTCTGGATTGGTTTAGAGAGAGAGAGAGTGAAAGAGAAAGAGAAGAAGAGTAAAGAAAATTATAAAGCTTATGTTAAAAAATAAGTTTTTAAAAAATCAAACCAAAACCACGTCATTTTAGTATAATTTGTCATATCACAATGTTATTAAAAATTTAATCTATAAATTTTAATAAATAAATAAAATAGAAAAAATAGTAAAATTTAATGAGTAGATTTATGATTTACTCATAAAATAAAAAAAATTATAAAGTTTTTATTCATATCCGATATTCAAAAATGACTCCTAATTGACGAAGTGGATTTATGTATGATAGTATTATAATACATAATTGTCTATGTTTGATTTAAAATAAGACTTTAAATTAATAAAAAAATATTAATTTAAAATGATGTAACATCAAAAAAATATTTTTAATTTTTGATTAAATAATTATTCTAATTCATTTTCTTTTTTCGAAGCATTTAATTCACAACGTTTCATTTTGAAGCAAAAGACTCGTATTTTGAAATGTCGATTATTTCTTAACTAACAGCTTTTATATATGAAGAGTCATTTTTTGTCTCAAAATAAAATATTAATATTTAAATATTTTAAAAAATGTAAATAAAAACAATTATTTAATCAACAAAAATGTATTTTTGTCATCATACCATTTAAAAGTTGTCCAAATTCTGCGATTCATGCAATAGCCCATCAAACATAATTTGCATTTAGCCCAAAGGATAAAAATGGATTATTTGTACAAGATCCCAGGCCAGCCTCAATTCTCTCTATCTTTTCTTCTGCAACAAATTCCTTATCCTCTCCCGTTTTCATCATTTTCAAGGGCCAACCAAGAAACCCCAGGGTGAAAATGGCTATACCGATACCAATGGCCACCGGTTGTAGAAGTAGTAGTAGGTGGAGCATGGTGTCCTTGAAGTCAGCTCTGCCGCCGCTCACTTCCGCTGCTTCCTCCATTAAGTTACCATGTCGCCACCGTACTCCTCCTCGAATCAGATCTCCGCAGCTTGTTCGTTCTTTCTCTTCCCTCTCCCTTGTTAATCCTCTCCATTCCCTCGGCTTCTCTGGTAACATCCTCTTTCTGAATCATTGAAAGAATATGCTGAAAGTGTTTGTTAGTAACTTAATTCTCTAAAAGTTAAATGGTTTTGTTGAAGAAAACTGATTTATCCTTTGTTTTTATTCCCATTTCTTGATGCACAACACTATTTAGGATTTTTTGAGTTTACTTTGCTGTATTTCCATGGGATTGTTATGTTATTTCTAGTTCAAGGATTTGGGGTCCCCCCCCCTTCTCTTTATTTTTCTAGTTCTAATTGCTGTTAGTTTTAGGACTAAGAATCAATGAACTCTTTGATGATGAATTTACCACCAATTACTGAAATTTGGCTTATGTTATTAGTTTTATAATTTGATTGTTGAAATTTTGATATTAAGAGTTGAATTATGCTATTTCTTGAGTGCTTTATTTTAGGTCACTTGGGTTATGTAGAGGATGGACTTGGGGCGGTGGGGGCAGTCGTTGCCGAAAAATTATCATATATTTTATTATTTTTTATGTATTTTTTTTATTAAAAAACTGTATTCGCTCTCCATAAATATTTATAGTATTGTTTCTTTCTAAAATTTTAAAAGTTCGTCCCTCTAAAATAAAATCGTTCCCAACTCTATGGTTATGTCATTTCACTCATTTGTATTACTCGAACTTAAGGGAGTTTGTTCCTTTTTCTAAAAGGGTATTGGAAGGTCATGTGTTCGAATCTATATTGAGTACTTCAAGAAAATCGTAAACTTGAGTCCATTGTAAACTTCTTATAGATTGTTTTAGGATCTATAACCATTTATTTGTGTTACTAATCACACAAACATTGGCAGACATGTCCAGCTTTGGGGAAAATTTCACTATTATTGATAATGGTTGTCGATTCTACGCAATGAGGCATGGCAGACGAGTCCCTAAACTCAACAGACCTCCTGACCAGCGACGCGCACTCCTTCGGGGCCTCACAACTCAGCTCCTTAAACACGGTAGGATCAAAACCACCAGGGCTCGAGCAAGTGCCGTGCGCAAGTACATTGACAAAATGATCACGTTGGCGAAAGACGGTTCGCTTCACAAACGAAGACAAGCGCTTGGGTTCATTTACGAGAAACAGATTGTGCACGCACTCTTCGCGGAGGTACCAGACAGGTACGGTGATAGAAATGGTGGATACACAAGAATCATTCGAACCCTGCCCAGGCGAGGAGACAATGCACCAATGGCCTACATTGAACTTGTATAGATAAGTTCCACGGCTGAGTATCCTTGCATGATTCTTGGAATCATGTCGTCTGTTTTGATTGCTACATTAGTGCAGCTGAACATTGTTTCTCTTAATTTCTTCAAGCGTTTACCTTTATCAACTTTGATGCGAGATGAATATACAATTGGAGTTTTTTTTTTTTTTTTTAAACAAAAATCAAGCACTGTTTTTTAACAAACGGTAAATGACACGCCAAATCTCTTACGTTTTCTTTTTGTTCAATTTAATCCTTAAAAGTTTAATTGACTCCTATATCTCTCTGAATTTAACAATTTAGTGCAATATTGGTTATTAATGATAATATCATTTTAGTATCGGATACAAAAAAAATTATAATTTAGAAATCCTCGGATGTTAAGTATACTCCAAGTCAACTTACATTTGAAAAATCCTTCTTAGATCCATGTAGTGAGTCAATTCCTTCTGTACCTAACATTTCAATTCACCATTATTTCCTAATCAACTAGCACCTTAATCAGCAACCAAGAAACTATAGGTTTATTCAAGGTTAAAATGTGACAGAAATCAGTTGCAACCGAAAATTTTATTAAGAGGGTGACTTTTTGGTCGGATAGTGTAATAATTTAATTTGGAACCGAAAATATTATTTTCTTCTTAACATTTTCTGTTGCAACAAAAAATGTTACAAATCTATATAATTTTTCAGATTGAACATGATAACATTTTAAGTTGAAAACCCCTTTTAAATTAATTTTTAATTGGATTATCGCACAACAAAACTACTTGTTCAAAAGTAATCTAATAATCTATAAACCCTTAGCCATCCGAGTTGGAAACTAGGCAATGTACAGTGAGGGAAATATCGAATATTCAATGTTTAGAGGTGGAAGATAGTTTCCTATTTTATAGATATTAGAAAACCAGGGAATTAATTAGTCTAATTTTGATTTCATATATTGTAAATAATAGGATTAATTATGTTTTTAATATTATTTTTCTATAAAGCTATTATCTCCATCTAGGTATGCTTAAAAATGTATATATCATGTATCTATGTCACTTCAATAACAATAGATAAATATTTGGGTAGTTTAAGGGTTTATTTGATAATTTAGAAAATTGAGTGTTGAAAAAATCAAGTGTTGAATTTAAATTATACATTTATTTAGTATTTTACTAAAAAATGAGTATGATGATATTATTTGATAAATATACATTTAAAAATATAAGATAATTAAAAGAAATAAAAATAAAATAAAAGTATTAAAACTATTGTTCTTTAAATGATAGGCATATACTTTTTCATTGAAAGATTCTAATAAATAATTTTAATTTTAAATTATTAAATACACTTAAATTATTAATTGTCAATTAATTGAACAAACCTTCCCTAAGTACTATATAAAAAAATTGAGAATTTTTCAATCTAAATATAGAAACTATATCAATTTAAAATTTAAAAAAATCCTAAAAGAAAATATAGGAATTAAATCTAAAATAAAGGGAATTATATATTAGAAGATGGTTTTCTAAAATTTCCAGTAAAAAAAAAGTTCTCAACTCTCTCCCCATATCCCCGCCGCCAAACAAGCTCTGACCGAAGCCATCCTTCCCTTGCCTCCCAAGTTTCCGACACACCAGGGAATTATTATTTTTGAATCTCTAAACTTTACCTTCAAGATTGGTTTCTTCTACTTCACTCTTCAGATTCTGAGTTATTTTCTGTCACACTGCTGTTGCTGTGAATTTTGATCACACCGCTGTTTGAAACCCTGTGTTGTGTCTTTTTCTTCGTGAGTTTGTTCTAAATCTTGAATCTTTTTACAGTCTTGATCAATGGGATGGGTTTCTTTTTGAAAAAGATTAAACGCTTGAATGATTAAAAAAGAGAGAGTAGATTTTGGCTGTGGGTATAGTTGATGGGATTAGTGGTATGATTTTATTTGTTGTTTTGAATTTTAACAGGGTTTAGGTGACTGATTTGACTGGGAATGGAGGTTTAAGTTTTGGGGTGTTTTTATATGGGTCCTGATTTGTATCTGATTGAGAAAACCACTTCGAAAGTGGTTTCGACTAATAATAAAGAGAGCGTGGCTCAAAATCAAGAAAACAAGGGGATGCAAGGAAACATTGGTATGGAGGTTGATCTTATTGAATGCATCAATTCTGGCGAGTCTGAGATGATTGATGTTGTTGAATGCCAGGATGCTACTGAGTGTTCGAGTTCTTTCGGTGGCACGATATCAGGGGATGAGAATGGTTTGATTGTGAATGACGAAGTCGAATCACCTCTTTCGGTCCCGGGGTTGTTTGGATCGTTTTCTGATGGCTGGAGTGAACCTTTTCAGATGGGGTAATCTTTATTGTTTCATGTTTTTTCATAATGCAATAGTCTTGAAGTGCAAATAAGAAACTTGCCATTGCAAGCTATTTGTGTTCAACTCGAGAAAAACTTGAATTCGGGTTGCACTGCCGAGCTCAAGCTAGTAAGCTGGCTGAATTTGAGTATCTTAATGCTTGACTTGAGTAGTGCCTGAGTTTAATCAGGTTTCTTTCATTCTCAATCAGGATTTGAAAATCTCTATTCTAACTCGAATTGGAATATTAACAATTGAGTTTGCAGTTGATTATGGGAATCAACAGTATTCTTTTTAATATGTAAATGAGCTTAATCAAGCAAGCTTGAGCAGTTCAGTTTTTATCTTAAATCAAAATTGAAGGGAGTTTTGAACCTTAAATTACAAGCAACCTGAGCTTCTTTTAACTTGCATTTGGTTTCGCTTGGTTACAACTTGAGCAGTATCGATATTGAAAAGTTTTTATTCTGTGCTTTTGAGAATATCAACATATCTGGATTATCGACTATCATATTTGATGCACTAGTATAAATTTTACTTCAGTTTAGTAGGCAAAGTAATTACAAACAAATAGAATTTACATGATCATGTTTCACTCTTGTGACGTGCGTATTTTTTCTAGATGTCGGATAATTAGTTTCTCTTTTAAATTCTTCAGGAAGAGAAGGTTAACAGATCACTGGAGGAAGTTTATACATCCTCTAATGTGGCGCTGTAAATGGTTAGAAATTAAATTTCGTGAATTGAAGTCTCAGGGACTCAAGTACGAGAGAGAGCTTGCAAAATATGATCAAAGCAAGCGGTTTGAGTTTGAAAAGTTTGCCTCTGAAGGCTTTGATGCAAAGTTGTGTGCATTTTGTTCAAAAGCTCCAAGAAAGGAAGTAATGAAGAGGAAGAAAAGAAAACGAGTAGAAGATACTGCAGATGTGGCATCATATATGTCGCATCATGATATCTTCTCGTATTATGGTATGTCGCTTGTGATTATTGTTTATACAATGCATATTATTCAAAATAAAGAAAAAAAGAACTCTAAATAAGTTTTTCCTTTGCCAAATAGAAAATAAGAAGTCTGTTGTTGCTGCTCCTGCTGCTTTTCTTTCCGTCGATGATTGGGGTGTTTTAGGTAAGAAGAATTATTTGTTTCCAAAATGAATGAGGATATGAATAATAAACATTATATGCCATTGTGTTTCTTTGTCTTGTCTGGAATATAATCAAGTTTAGCTTATTTAACCCGATGAGGTCTAACTTTTTCAACTGCAGATGGCTGTGAAATTGGAGTTATTATGTGTTTAGTTTCGAAGTTGATGTTGGTGGAACTTTTGAAGTTCCGAATCGTTCTTTGATTTTTTTGATGAAATGAAAAATGATTTTTGCACTTTTCTATTCAGTGTGTTTGTTTCTGTAGATAATGAAACGATCCATCTCGTGATTTATACAGATAATAAAACGGTCAATGGCTATGATGATGATGAATTCAATGATGGATCTCCATTTGAATCTAGAGATGGTGATAACTTGACAGAACATATCCTTCAGAAGACTGAATTGCTACGGTCGAGAATTCGGGCACTAAAGACTCGAATGGACAAGGTGGTTAATGAAACTCAAAAGTTATCATCTATCAACATTTTAAGTTCGCTTGTACCTTCTGATGCATTGAACAATCCTGAAAGTCATTGTGCCGAGAAAGATTACAAAAATAGTTTGCAATGTACCACATCCCAGCATGCAACTGAGAGTGTTATGTGGGATAACATTATGCCTGAAAGTTCCCTTTTAGATCATGGAGATGTGTCCCCTGTACCTGATTTGATCAGGAGCATGAGTCAGCGTATGCTCGCCATATCATCGGAAAATGTGAGTTTTTTTTTAACATAATTTCGCTGCATTTTATTATTGTTTTCCTCTTCTTTAATAAACTGCAGTTATGTAAATCCTCTCCTTTGCCTGCATAATCTACTAGAATTGTAGCAGAGATAACAACGGCTTTACTTGTGGTGTCGGTGTTTTCAACTTCTACATATTAGACAGTAACTCAAGTCTAACTAACATAAATATTGATCTGTCCCGTGCAAGCCGCCTTTCCGTTTATCTTGCGCATGATGAACCTTTTTCTCTCATGGTGTAATCCGATAGCGATTACACAGTGGGTTAACCATCTGATATGCTTTTCGTCCGGTGTTTCTTCCATGATGGAACTGATCTATGGTTATATCTGCATAGATTGAGTCTGAAATTCTAATACCCAACGAAGCAGCCAAGGAGGAGTTACTCAGTTTCGGTAGTGCTATAAGCCAGCGGGTAGAGAAATCGAAGGCAGTTGCTCTCGTCCATACTCCTGGAGACAACTTGCAGATGAACACCTCTCTCGAACAAAATGCACAGCCACATTTTTTCAAGTCGGAACAAGCTGATAATGGAAGGACTAGTGGGGTTAAAAGATCGGACCTTGGTCGGTGGAGCCGTAGATCCTCAGGTTAAAATGGATTAAGTTGAATTTCACTAATATCGGGATTTCAGACGGATGAAATTGCATTGGAGAGGAGGTTAAGTTTTTTTTTTTCTTTTCTTTCTGTTTTGATGATGATAATACATGTAAATGCCATTGCCAAGCGTGTATTCTGCTCTTTTTCATCAACCTATTATAGATATAATATACACATCATACATGTTCAGTTTCTATATGAATATTCATCGGGTTTATTTCGAGTTTGGTCATTTCATGTTTGATTTGGATAGATTCAGGTTGTCGACCTTTTATAATAAAATCGGATTAGATGGCATTTAGTTTTGATATTTTCTTTAATATTTTGAATAAAATTTTGAAATAATAAATTAATTCATTATTATTAAATTAATAAAAAATAATATAATAATACATTTAAATTTTTATAATTTGATTTTATTTTTATAATAAAATTATACAGTTATCTTCATCACCCACATTCCCTCCACATTTGTATAATAAAGTATTTCCTTTTTTACATTAGATGGTAGTATCATCTAGACTAACATATTAACACATTTAGTCTTCTTTTTTACTTCTAAAAGATGAACATTCTACCGCCACTATCTATTCTTCATTACCCTTATCCCTCCTCCACAAGCTTTTGATGAAGTTGTCCTCTTTTTGCATTAAATTAAAGCAACTTATTCAAACATGCAATAAGGTTTTGCATTAAAAAAATGCAGAATCATAAATATAGAAAGCCAAGAAAGAAATTCATCATATTAACAAATAAAAGAATAAAATCAAAATGATAATGAAGATAAATAAAAAAAAAAAGGAAAATTAAATAAATAAATCAAATATATTATTATATTAAGTATTATATTATCATTAGATTTCTAGTAACAATGAACGAATTTGTTATTTTTTAAAATGTTTATATAGGTGAATTCGGATATCTAGTAGCCAAGAAAGAAATGATATGTAAGGATTCGAGCCGCTAATGTTATTTAAGAAATCTAGTGTTTCATCCCACTAGATCAACTGATAGTTAATAATACAACATATTTATTAAAAATTAACGCCGATATAGCATCTCATAAAGTAGAATGAATTCCATTCAACATGAATTTTTACTGAAGTTACAAATTTTCACTCAGTTGCATTGCCCTATATTTTCATTTTCAACTCAATATGTTCAAAGAAAAATATAATAAATATAGTGAAGGTATTGTTGTTGTTGGATGTGGATTTGAACGTGCTTAATCTCATTAATTAATGGTGATGGGTTTGGGAGATTTATTTATTGTTTAAGAATTACGTCTCAAAAAGAAAAATAAAATATGCATCACCAAGCTTCTTTGCATTTGTAAAACAGACTAAGAACAAGAGAAAAAAGGGTCCCAAAACTTGGTTTCTAATTTCTATAAAAATAAGACATAAGCAAAGAACATATCAATCATCTAACACTAAACTTAAAAGACAATGATAGCGGGAAAGAATGGTAAAAGAGAGGCATTTTTTCCAATTTCAAATTAAAGAAAGAAAACAAGTAAGAATGCACAAAATGTTAAAAACATTACTTACAAAATATTGGGGAGCTGCTCATCCAATCTCTGCTGCAACTCCTTGACCTTCATGGAAAGTTCCATTTTTTGCTCCTTGTAACTCTGCACCAAGTATTGCTTTCCTTCTATTACCTCCTTCAACTCTCCCACTTCTCTCCTCAGCATTTCGATTTGCTCCCCGTCTCCTCTTCCCTTCTCAGGAAACTCCAAGTTGGTTTTGATGTCGAGAAACCCGTTTTCATGGCCATTTCTTTTGTCAGATGGCAGAGCTGTAACTGTTGAAGTCTGCTTGTTCGTGCTGACATGTCCCATGCAATGATCCGTAGTTGCCTTCCTCAGCCTTTGGATTTCCCGCTCAGAGTAGAACAAGTCTCTGTTTGCAACATCCAGCTGTGATTGTAAATGACTCGAGTGTGCCACTTGAGCATTCAATGAATTCTGAAGCTCCGTAATCTGATCCTGCATCTCCAGAATCATATCATCCCTTCTCTTCAACTGTTGTCTTAGTTTCTGTATCACTTCCCGCTTGCTATATATGTCGGAGCCTGATTCTGAGACACATGGTGAGTCGGAGCAATTAAAATGATGGAATGGCTTTGAAGGCAACTCAAGGGGATCGGAAGATGATGCCCACATAACACCATTATCCTTGTTGAACTCAGTGGTGGGAACTGTCACCAGAGGGAGAGTAACTTTAGATGGAGGCAGAAAGTGGCCGTTAGGCAGGTGCTTCCGCCCCATGCTTTCCGCTCCTGTTTTCAACCAAACTCGAATAAGAAACCAACATGTAGAAACAAATATAAAAGTTTCACATCAAAAATAACAAAGCATTAAAGTGCTATGTTGCTCCTTTTGTTTTTGCAAAGTACCTATATCCATCATATTTTCAGACATAGGTATAGTCATATAACTTTCCAAGGATCTACCAACTAGGCAACTACATGGAAAAACATTAAAACAGAGAACACATCCGTGTTGAACACATTCTTGTATCCGACACAAAGCAATATATGACTAGCCGAAGTAAGAACTAAGAACGGCCATAACTTGTCTCCAATTGAGAACTCCAAAAGGACCTTGTCTCCCAATATGAAGAGCAATACGGCAAAGGCCCAAGGAAAATATAAATGCCACAACCAAAATTTCAGAACTATGATGAATGATAGCTCTCCCCATTTTTCTTAATTACCAGTGTCAGTCACAAATTGACACTTCAAAGCTCAAAAAGATATGATAAAAACCCTGTAAAAACAAAATCTGCCAATTATTGAAACTGGAAGGTAAGTGATTCAGGACAGGATGGTATTTTGTAAAAGGTTCTTTCCTAAAGGAAACCGAGGCTTTGTTTCTTCTCTTTCAAGCCAATACGTTACTATTTACACTGAAAAAGTGGATTGGGAAGATAGTACTGGGATTTTTTACAAGTCTTTCTTCACTTCTGTCATCCTGCTCCAAATATTCTAACTAAAGAATAGAGAGGTGAAAGCTAATGCAATTGCTCATAATAGCTGTTTCAAACCTGAAATGCAGTTGAAACACTCATCATCTTCTTGTGTAAATGAATACATGTTTGAGTGTAAACGGCAACCTGAAGAACTCCTCTGGTCAGAAGTTCCAGTCCCTATAACAAGATTTAAATTCAGAAGTAGGTATGTATGCAGTAGAAATAATTGGAGAAACGGATACTACTTTACCTTTCGATCTAGTAGAAGAATTATGATGTTGCTTGGTGTCAAGTGCTTGCTTGAGCTTGTAACCAAAGCGGATCGATAAGGTACTCAGCAAGGCACCACCAGCAATAAGAATCCAATTTGGCCCCTCTCCCTGAAAACTTTTTGACCTCGGACCCCTAGATGCCTGGCCACCTCTTGTATTCATTTTAAGAGCAAAGGGTCAGAGGGGAAATCTCTGAATCATCCAAAGATGACCTATAGTTAGAGTGTTCCAAACTGCAATTACTATCCATTTAAAAAAAATTAGATGAAATGATATCAAGAAACCTGTAAGTTCAACAAAGGCCACTATCTTCACAAGAAACAAAAGGGTCTCGTGAATTGAAAGTGAAATAAACCACTAATGTAAAAATGCTTAAATTGCATGACTCTAAAATTTGATTCAATTTGACATTCAAATAAAGAATCAATATCCATCCTTCAATCATTCCCCAGACTTTCTCTAGACATTATACATTTTTTACAGATTGACAGCTTAGTGAAGACTAGAATAGTGTTTAGGCTCTTGAAGGTAAGTTAATGTCACTGGAAGTGGAGTCAATGATAAAATATTCGAAGTTAAAATCAAAAACATGTTTTTAATAAGATAGCCATGATATTCTCCCCCATGCTATACTTTATGACCCAAGCAGATTAACATGCAAGTAAGCTGTTCAACTTTAATATCATCCATGGTTAGTTAGTGTGTTAAAAGGGAAATATAAACATGTTGTGTCAACATCCCATCAAAAATAAACACACAAAAACTCAAAGAGCAACTTCAAGTTCCATGATTGCAAATTGGTTATCAGATCAATAATAAATCTAAGTGGTGTTGATGACCAATCATAACGAAAGTAAACATATGCAATTAACAACACTTATTAGATATTATCGTCAGCTAAATCAATTATATGTAATTTTTCTTAAACCAATTTATCTGTTACAAAGCATTCATCAAACAACTTGGAAAGAATCAGCTAAATCAATTAACATTGGTCGAATACTAACTCAAAGCAGAAATAACAGTTCAATCTTCTAAAAAGGGCCATTCGACTACACGAGCTTCGATTTAAATCGCCAAATTAAGTCGATATCGCTATGAGCGTACAAACTCCATGTCGTAATATCAGAAACGTTATAAAATTACAAGTTATCCATTTTTGAACCTTGGTCCTTCTTCTCTTCTCTTAGATATTACTTCAAGCAAAAAGTTTCGGAATACTAAAAAACCTTACGCAGAGTAATCGGAAACAGCAGAAAAACATGAGCGAAAAAAAAGAAGCAAACCTCATTCAAAGAGAAAAATAGGGTTTTCTTCTACCGGGATTTATCCTGAAACACTGTCACGGCGTCGTTTTGGAGAAGTGATTCCCTCTATCACTGTTCGCCTCCCTCGCTCTCTTGAAGTGAGCAAGAAGAGAGGGCTCTATTCAAGTGGCGGCTTTCGGCTAATGAGTGGTTTTCTTTAATTTTTTATTAAAAATTATTTTTTAATAAAAAATTATAAAATCATGGAGAGTTTTGCATGTGTTTTTTCCGAAAAATCATCAGTTATCGATATATTTATCGATCTAACACCGGTCAGATTATATTTTTTGATCTAACACCCGTAGCAGTAAAGCGCGCCCCTTGAACCGCGTTATATGCTGATTTGGCGCCACGTGAAGTATAGCGCGCCTCCTGTACCGCGTTATACACTGACTGGGTTACACGTGGGGTATAGCGCGCCCCCTGCTCTGCGCTATACGTCACGTAGGGGTATAGCGTGGATCAGGGGCCGTGCTATACGCCGTACCAAAATTATATTTAACGCAGTCTCTAGTACGCGCTATATAATAATTACATATATTGCGGTGCAGGTATCGCACCTTATATATTTATAAATACACTCCTCCGGTTCTCACAACTCCTCGCATCTCTCCCCTCAACTTATAAATTAATACAACAATTCCGTCAACGAGTAATAATTCTGGCAATCTTCTCATATTTGATTTAGAAGTTCGTGCGATTTTTCGTTATAAGGTAATTTTGTTATAATTTTTTAATTATACTTATTATTTATTATCATTGTTTGAAAAAATATTATACTAATTGTTTTCAATTAATTTTTATGTTTTTAAAATTGAAAAGCGGGAGCATACGTCGAAATAGTTTTGTGGTACATGTAATAATATAAAATTATATTATTTAAATTATTTACGTTGATGTGTAAAAAAAAAATTTATGTTATATTTTCGTTCATATATAATTTATTTAATCAGGTTTGTTTCAGTTTTTTTTTTTGCAGATATAATATTGTTGCACTTTTAAACTCAAAGAATGGCGCGACTTTCAGCTATTGTTTATTATGATGGTGAAATTCGAGAAGATGAAACTGGCGATGTTTTCGTATCAAATGAGCGTGTTAAAATATCATTCAAGAGAAACATAACTCTTGAGGAGCTGATAACGAAGATTTCGAGGAAGATTCATGTTGGAAGTAGTAGAAGAATGTCGCCGTTGCAGTACATATTTCCAACATCATTGTTGTCATTAACTTATACAGCGTTCGAACTTTCGAACAATGATGATGTTTAAATAATGGTTGAAGCTCAAAGTAATTATTCAGACGCCGCTATTGAGATGTATGCACATTTTGTTCGGGGTTAATCTTTAAGCTCACACTATGGGCTGGCTGAACAAGTTGATCAAGTTGACAGCCCGACTACAGTAATGTGTAATGATTTTAATGCCATAATGGGGAGACATTCATCCGCAACTCCTTACGATATGTACCGAGGTGGGTCCACAAAGGATCCGTATGGCAACACCGCGTCCAGTTCAAGGGGAAGGCATTCATCTGCAAATTTCTTTGACCATATGGAGATATCATCGACGCAACCATATGTGAAGTTTCCATTTGACACTATGGCTTCAAGCTCCAGGGGGAGGCATTCGACTGCGAGCTTTTTCGATCTCAATGTCGATATGCCTTCTAGTTCAAGGGGAAGGCGTGCAAGTAGTAGGTTCTTCCACTTCTATTGTCATCAAGTAACAATTGATGAGGAAATGATGTATTTGTTTATCAAATAATAATTCTTGTATTTTAATTTGCATTTACTTCAAGTTAATGTCATTCGATAATCGTTGATGAAGATTAAAAAAATGAACACAATCATTAAATTTTATCAAACTAATAACAATTTGATATTTAAATACAACAAACTTACAATAAGAATTAAATGGTAAATGATAACCAAATTACAATAACTGATATTAAATGGTAATAAACAAAATTAACTGAAATATATTAAAAAAATACAACAAATTTAACAAAATAAAGTAAGTATTAAATGAGAAATAATAAAAAATTACAATTAAACAAAATAAAGTAAATACAAATATAATAAAAAAAATATCGATGCCTGCGTCGCGAATGTGTTCCGCAGGGCGGTGGCTATCGGTCTCGAGGAGGATTTCTTTGTATCACTGGTTCTGACTCCTCGCTGTCATCATCATCATCATTTTCGTCCTGAGCAAGTACATTAGGTTGATGAGGAGCTAATGACGATGAAGCACCTCCATAGAATAAGGACCCTGGAGATGTATGACTGACTATCCCACCGGCCTGCGAAAACTGGGAAAACTCAGACATCGCTGAGTGTGAAAACTGTACATGAGGTGTCTGTGCTGTGGCCATGGGTGATGAGGCTGAACCTGCCAAATATCTAGCATATGAACCCCAAGTCGGATCTACAAACATAGACCCATAATAGCCTCTATGAGGGGTCATCTGTGACGGTGGCGGTGGCGGAGTCATAAAATCAGGTGAAGGCGGCGGCGGCGGCATCTGGCAATGGAAAGGCCATGGCGGCATCATATATGGCTGCGGTGGCTGCTGGGAAGGTCATGCTGGTGCAGCTGAGGATGAACCGGAAGCACCTGTTCTCCATCCACGAGTCAGTGGACGATGGTGCTGTGTCGGTGAACGTCTCTGTCGACGTCGTGGAAAGGTCTACCCTCGTATATCCTTGGGAAGTAGAAACGATTTCATGTTACTGTTGAACCACTCATAATAATCCTCATCACACATCAATAAGTCAGTAAAAATGGGCTCTCTACGTGGAAGGCGCCGATGTCGATCCTCCCACAAAACGACTCACTCATAATGCCTCACCAGCCAATCTGTATCTGTCTTGCCGTGTCTATCTAAGCTATGCAACTCGTCCATATTGTGAGGTGCTTCCAGAATTTGTTGAAAACAACCAAACTGCCGGAGCACGCGATCAGTGGAGTGCCACTCGACAGTCACATAACAGATCAGAGGGACCATCGCCATCCAAACATCTGATGGACTCCTCAACTCAGGTGGGATCACCTCCCTGACATCATCAGTAGAATATGACACTCATTCAAACTAAAACAAATAATATATAATTTTTATCAAAATAATATTCTAATTATATAACTATAATCTAAAATTGATTTTTAAACATTAAAATTCATACATGTGTGCCAGCCTTCTGATCGATTAGCACCCTGATTTTTTCTAAATCATTAGGTAGCTCCTGATGATTTCTCCTATCAGTAGACCACCTATTCAAGGAAAAAAAATTGTTATACGTTGTATAAAATTATTAATATACAAAATCAGTTTTATAATTACCTCAGAAGTAGTGGAAATACGAATGGGTTCTTCACAACGGGACATAAAAAGGGCAATCGATACCATGCCCAAGACTACAGTAGCAGGAGACATCCGCCGATAGCATTACGCCTGTAGTCAGTGGCTCCACACATCTCCCTGTACAGTAAAGCCAACACTGCCGAGCCCCAACTGAATGATCCAGCGAGACGAAAGTCGCTAAGATGTCGCAACCACATGCAGTGAACTAGGTTGCACGATTTGTCCGGCATCAGCAACCCTCCTATCAGCTGCAGTATGCATGCCCGTGCATACATCTTAACCTCATCCTCAGAGGCGTCTGCGCTCAACTCCTGAAAATTGGCATCTAACAAATTTAACAGTATCCTACCTCCGATAAAATTTTCCGGGACACGTCCTAGACTATCCCGACACAAAGTAGTCCAAGAACTGGAAGCTATCCCCGATATCACATCTCCATCCACCGGAAGCCCCAGGTGCATAGAAACATCCTCAAGCGTGATCGTGCTCTCTCCGCACGGAAGATGGAATATGTGGGTCTCCGGCCTCCACCGCTCTACTAAGGCAGAAATAAGGTCTGGCTCTATCTTACAGTGACCCTGATATCTACCTATATAACCGAATCCAGCCTCTACTAAATACGGCAAGACACGGCTGGGTATCACTAACTTAAGATTCCTAATAAAAGGATCTAATACACGGTCCTTCTCCTAAAAATAAATAATTACAAAAATTAATTTTTAATCTAATAATTATGTATTAAATAAATCAACTAATTATTACTAATAATTTAAATTAAATAAAAACGTTAAAATGTTACCGTATCAACAAAGTGTCGAGATATTTAATTCTTAATCTAATAATCATGCATTAAATAAATCAACTAATTATTACTAATAATTTAAATTAAATTAAAACGTTAAAATGTTACCGTATCAGCAAAGTGTAGAGATATATGATTTCCATCCGAGCGAAGTAGATTGTCTTCCATTATATATCTGCAAAAGAATTATATTAGTAAAATATTAAATAAAGTAAAATACTTAAATAAATTAAATACGTAATATTAAAAATATTATAAAATATACCTTAAAAAGAGAGAGTATTTGAGAGAAATTTAAAGAATTTGAGAGAATTTGGTGTGATAAAAGTGATTGAGGATGGGGTATTTATAGGGAGGATTGGGATATGGATGGGCGGGTATTTAGGGGTATAGCTCCCCCCCTGCACCGTGCTATACCCCACGTGTCATATACCCAGGTATAGCGCGGATCAAGGGGCGCGCTATACCCACGTGGCGTCAAATCAGCGTATAGTGCGGTTCAGGGGGCGCACTTTACTGCTACGGGTATTAGATCGGGAAATATAATCTGACCAGGTGTTAGATCGGTAAATATACCGATCACCGATGATTTATTAGGAAAAACATCATTTTTGCAATGTCAGCATGAAATGTTTTGCATTTTGCCTCAATTTTTCCGTTTATTTCTCTTCAGGGTAGTTATACGGAACAATCTAATAATTTAGGATTAAAATATGGCAGAAACAGATGCTATCAAAATATATACAAAAATAGATAAGTATACAATGTATGTTGCATACCATAACACATCACTAAAGTAATGTATATGTCGCATACCATAACACACTACTAAAATAATGTATTGAAACACACGATAAGTAAATTTGTCTTTATTGTATAAATTTCAAAAATAAATAGAATTTGTTTAAAATTAATATTTATTAAAATTTAATTATAATTTTTATTAAAAATAAGAATTAAT